TGAACATGGACAGAAAAAACATCGCTCTTGGAGACTAGACCCTACGTTGCTATCAGACGGCAATTTCTGTAATACAATTAATCAAGCAATTAATCTTTTTTTGCAGACCAATAAAACTGAGGACATCAGTCCATCTATACTGTGGGAGACCCTTAAAGCTTTTCTTAGAGGGGAAATAATTTCTTATACAACTTACAATAATATTATTAAAAACCCGGGGAACTCTGTATGAGTATGGAGATAAAGCAGGGCGTCTCCTTGCACACCAGTTGAAAAGTGATACAGCATCCAGACAAATAACACAAATAGTAAATAGTTCAGGATCCCTGACAGTTAATCCCATCGAAATTAATGAAATTTTTTGTGCTTATTACTCTGATTTATATAGATCAAACGTCTCAGATGATGAAACTAATATGTCAACCTTTTTCTCCGACCTTAACATCCCCAGAGTTACACTAGAATCTCACAATAAGTCAGAGGCCCCTTTAAGTATTAATGAAATAACAGATGCCATTTTTTCCATGCAAAGTGAAAAATCCCCGGGCAGTGATGGTTTTCCCATCGAATTCTATAAAACATTTTCTCTTCAGTTAGTACCATTACTGTTTGAAATGTTTGAAGACTCCTGTCAACGGGGTTCTTTACCCTTGACGCTTACTCAGCCTCTATCTCAATGATTCTTAAGAGGGACAAAGACCCAACGCTCTGCAGCTCATACCGACCTATCTCTCTTCTTAATTCAGATATAAAAATATTAACAAAAGCTCTTGCATGTAGATTGGAGTCTATTTTACCCTCTGTTATTTCTGCCGATCAAACAGGGTTTATTAAGAATCGACACTCCTTCACTAATTTACGTAGACTTTTAAATATTGTTTATTCTAAACCCTCTGAGACTAGCCCTGAGGTGGTTGTGTCTCTCGATGCCGAGAAGGCTCTCGATCGAGTGGAGTGGCAATATCTGTTTTTTACTTTGAGAAAATTTGGTTTTGGTGATAAGTTTATCTCCTGGATCCATTTGATTTACACTTCTCCATAGGCACGAGTATTAACAAACAATCAATCATCACAGTTTTTTCTCTGAACAAGGGGCACTAGACAAGGTTGCTCCTTGTCCCCACTGCTTTTTGCTTTAACCATTGAGCCCCTTTCTATTGCTTTGAAAAGTCAAAAAAAAAAAATTCTGCTATCGAGAGAGGAGGTAGCGAACATAAGGTTTCTTTATATGCCGATGACCTCCTCCTATATGTTACGAAAGTTCTTTCCCTCACATTTTAGCCACTCTTAACTCTTTCGGAGCCTTCTCTGGCTACAAGTTAAATATTCAAAAAGTGAATGTTTCCCTGTTAATCAACTAGCACAGGGGATATCTCAAGCTGACAATCCCTTTTAAATTATCTACTAGTTTTAAATATCTTGGAATTATTATCACTAAATCTATTAATTCACTTTTTGAAGAAAATTTTGAAGCTCTAACCATTAAAGTGAAAGCTGATTTACAGAGGTGGAATAACTTATCTCTCTCTTTGGCTAGCAGAGTAAATCCGATTACAATGAATATCCTTCCCAGATACCTTTATTTATTTCAGTGTCTACCTATTTTCTTACCTAAACAATTTTTCCATATATTGGATACAGTTATTTCAAACTTTATATGGGTAGGTAAAAACCCAAGAATTCGTAAATCCTTGTTACGGAGGGAACATGCAAAAGGGGGACTGGGTCTACCTCTCTGAAAGCCCTTGTATGTAGTAGTCTCCCACTCAAACCTAGACAGTTCACCTCTAACCCAATAGTTATTGCTACTTTAAACATCTGGCAGCAAATTAGACAACAGTTTGGGTGGAGGGGCCTTCCCTTGGCCACACCTTTCTGAAATAACCACATGTTTCAACCTGCCAGAACCAATCCAAGATTCTCTAAGTGGTGTACTTTAGGATTGTCCTCTCTGTATGACCTCTACGTAGACGGCATATTTGCTAGTTTTCCTCAACTCTCTTCCCTGTTTAACCTTCAAAGTTCAGATATGTATGGTTACTTCCAAATCCGTAATTTTGCTAAGTATAATACATTAGCTTTTCCACATATTCCAACAGCCTCTGGTATCGATCTTTTTAATAGGACCTCCCGGCTACTGAAAGGGCAGATATCACATATTTGCAACATATTATTAACAGCGATTCCCTCTGCTCTCATGCTCAGACAAATGGTGGAACAACGTCCTCACGACTATAAACTCTTCTTCATCCTGTGCAACACTTACTCTTATTCAATTTACAGTGCTCCACAGGACTCATTACACTAAGGAACGATTATCAAAAATGCACCCAAATTTATCAGATGCATACGATAGATGCTCTCAATTACCCGCTCACTCGACTCATATGTTTTGGTCTTGTCCTAGGTTAAAAGAATATTGGAGATTTTTCTTTACATTTTTATCAGAGGCATTGAAGTTGAACATTGAGCCATCACCTGAGATAGCTATCTTTGGTACTCCAGGAACTGAAACTAAAATGAACAGAAAAATGTAATTTCTTTTGCATCCCTGATTGCTCGCCATCGAATACTTTTACAGTGGAAAGACCCTCTACCTCCTTCAAAAGATTCCTGGGATAAAGACTTAATGAATTTTCTGAAGCTAGAGAAGGTCAAATTCACACTTCGGGGTCCCACTGCTAAATTTTATAAACACTGGCAACCTCTTATAACGCACTTTGAGAAAATGGATTGTTCAACATTGGATTGAAGAGTGGGTTCTCTTGACTGCTTTATGTATGTGCACATGCCGACTTGTGTATGATCTTCGATAAATTACCCTTTTTTAAATTTATTTATTAATTTTTTTTTTGGGGGGGGGGGCAATGTCTGTTTTACTTTTTATATATGTATGTATGTGTATTTGTGTGCATAGATATACACTCACCGGCCACTTTATTAGGTACACCTGTCCAACTGCTCGTTAACACTTAATTTCTAATCAGCCAATCACATGGCGGCAACTTAGTGCATTTAGGCATGTAGACATGATCAAGACAGTCTCCTGCAGTTCAAACCGAGCATCAGTATGGGGAAGAAAGGTGATTTGAGTGACTTTGAACGTGGCATGGTTGTTGGTGCCAGAAGGGCTGGTCTGAGTATTTCAGAAACTGCTGATCTACTGGGATTTTCACGCACAACCATCTCTAGGGTTTACAGAGAATGGTCCGAAAAAGAAAAAATATCCAGTGAGCGGCAGTTCTGTGGGCGGAAATGCCTTGTTGATGCCAGAGGTCAGAGGAGAATGGCCAGACTGGTTCGAGCTGATAGAAAGGCAACAGTGACTCAAATAACCACCCGTTACAACCAAGGTAGGCAGAAGAGCATCTCTGAACGCACAGTACGTCGAACTTTGAGGCAGATGGGCTACAGCAGCAGAAGACCACGCCGGGTGCCACTCCTTTCAGCTAAGAACAGGAAACTGAGGCTACAATTTGCACAAGCTCATCGAAATTGGACAATAGAAGATTGGAAAAACGTTGCCTGGTCTGATGAGTCTCGATTTCTGCTGCGACATTCGGATGGTAGGGTCAGAATTTGGCGTCAACAACATGAAAGCATGGATCCATCCTGCCTTGTATCAACGGTTCAGGCTGGTGGTGGTGGTGTCATGGTGTGGGGAATATTTTCTTGGCACTCTTTGGGCCCCTTGGTACCAATTGAGCATCGTTGCAACGCCACAGCCTACCTGAGTATTGTTGCTGACCATGTCCATCCCTTTATGACCACAATGTACCCAACTTCTGATGGCTACTTTCAGCAGGATAATGCGCCATGTCATAAGGCTGGAATCATCTCAGACTGGTTTCTTGAACATGACAATGAGTTCACTGTACTCAAATGGCCTCCACAGTCACCAGATCTCAATCCAATAGAGCATCTTTGGGATGTGGTGGAACGGGAGATTCGCATCATGGATGTGCAGCCGACAAATGTGCGGCTGCCATCATGTCAATATGGACCAAGCTCTCTGAGGAATGCTTCCAGCACCTTGTTGAATCTATGCCACGAAGAATTGAGGCAGTTCTGAAGGCAAAAGGCGGTCCAACCCGTTACTAACATGGTGTACCTAATAAAGTGGCCGGTGAGTGTATATATATATATTAAGGCTGTCAAAGTTAACGCGTTATTATCGCGTTAACGCGAGTGACTTTTATCGCCACTAATTTTTTTGACGCACGATTAACGCAAGCCTTAGACTGACTTGACCAAACTACACACACACTGCGTGGATATTCTTGACGTTGTAAAAGGGTAGAGCAACAGTTGGTGAGGTGTCCAGGCTATATGAGCCTCGGGGCACTCCGTAGTTTCGCCAATCAGGAAGTAGTGCACTGACTGATACCACAACAGACACAAACGAATCCACGTGAGCATACAACTAGGATACAATGAATAAGAACACTATTTTAAACGGAAAGTTCTGCTACAAAGTCCTGCCAGATGGATCTGTTGACAGGACAAAAGTAATTTGTGTTTCCTGCAGAGCCGAATTTAGTTACCACCGGAGTACGTCCAGCCTTAAATACCACTTGTCGGCCAAGCACACAGCTGATGCGGAGAGCCCCGCGCCCCCCCGCCTCAAGCAAACAACACTTAATACACAAGGTAAACAGATGGAGAGGTCTACGAAACGCAAACTTGAAGCAGCGATCGCTAAATGGGTGGCTACTGCTTGTCGGCCGATTAGTATTGTGCAGGACGTTGGACTTCGTGAAATCATACGGATCGCGTCCAATGACTGGACATATGAACTACCTTGTAGGACCACCATTACCACGAAAATCCACGATCTGTTTGACAACGAGAAGGCTAAAGTGTCGGAGGCTTTGGGGAAGACGAGCACAGTTGCGCTCACTGGAGACTATTGGACTTCACTCAGTAATCATAGTTACCTCGGGGTTACAGCTCATTATTTTGACCAGCAGTGGGAACTTCAGTCACACGCGTTGACTGTTATGAAGACAGAGGAGAGGCACTTCGCCGACACATGCGCGGAGCACTTCATGCATGTAGCTGGAGAATGGGACATTGAAGGTAAAGTCAGCACACTGACCACCGACAGTGCACGCAACATGATCGCAGCGTCCAAGCAACTCCCGTTTGAACACATGCCTTGTGCAGCACATCTTCTCCAACGGGCCATCACTGTGTCCCTGCAGCACAGCCCATTTGATAGTGCACTGGCGAAATGCAGGAAGGTGGTGGGCCATTTCAAGCACAGTGCACCGAATGCAGCAGAGCTTGAGAAAATGCAAGATGCAAGGAAGAAACCTAAAGAGGCTCTCACACAGGACGTTTCAACTCGATGGAACAGTACCTTGGAGATGATCAGGTCTATTCTGAGAAATCAAGAACCACTGAGCGATGCCCTTGCCCTCCATCCAACCAAGGTGACAATGCCAACAGCAGCTGAGCTGGATAAACTGCAGAAGTTGGAGACAGTCCTGGAACCCTGCAGGTGAATTATTGATACTCTAATTGACATTATGTTTGTTTCTGACTGTGTGTGTGTATGTGTCTGTGTGTGTGTGTGTGTGTGTGTGTGTGTGTGTGTGTGTGTGTGTGTGTGTGTGTGTGTGTGAGAGAGAGAGAGAGGTAGGGAGGGTGGGGGGTCCTCAGCCCTTGTATGGGTGAGTTTGCAACTTTATCATTCCCTTATTATTGCAGGTACGTAACAGAGCTTCTCGGAGGAGAGAACTTTGTATCCTGTTCAGCTGTGCTGCCAGCCTTGAGCCATCTGTCACGAGTCATGGAGGTCTCTGAGGATGACCCAGCATACATGGCTAAGTTCAAAGAGACCTTCACAGCAGACCTGGAGCAACGCAAGGAAAAAACAAACTTGCCATGGCTTAAGGTTGCGACGGCCCTGGACCCTAGGTTTAAGGACCTCAAGTGTCTGAGCAAACCTGAGAGGGCTGAGGTGTGGCGTTCCATCACTGACTTGCTCAAGGAGGAGAGGCCTGCACAACCAGAACAACCAACGGTGTCTGTGCCACCAAAGAAAAGATTAGCTCTCATGTTTGAGTCTTCATCTGACGAGGAGGACTACCTTGAGAGATGTCTGGAGCGCTACAGGGCAGAGCCCACCATTGACATGGAGGACTGTCCACAGCAGTGGTGGGCTGACCATGAAGGAGCACACAGCATGATGGCCGGCCTTGCGCGCAAATACTTGGCAACACCTGCCACCTCGGTGCCGTGCGAAAGGTTGTTTTCACTGTCTGGGCATGTTGTCAATAAGAAGAGAGCCTCACTGGCTTCTGAAAATGTCAACAGGCTTGTCTGCTTGAGCAATTGGCTCAGAGCAAAGAAATAAGTGTTCTGTTCAAACAAGAGAAGAAATGTAGGCTGATGTTAAGTTTATTTTGTCTGATAAAAAGAGGAAGTGGAGGTTGATACTTGATAGAAGCTGCTGTTTCTTTCATCTGTTGAAAAAGAGAAGATGTTCTGTCTGTTAAAAAGAGAAGGTGGAGCTGATATATTTTGGAGATGGAGGCTGGGTTGTTCAGCCTCTGCTGAATACAACATAACAGCTGTTTATAGGCTATAGCCTGACTGCACTATCATTTGAGTCCTGTTTTGCTCCCCCTGTCTCATGCACACTTCATTCATTGTGTTAGTAACTGAAGCTATTTTGTGCATCACTCTAGTTTGTTTTGATTTTGGTGCAAATGTGCAATGCATTCTTTGGTGTTAAAAGGCAGCTACAAACAAAGAAATGGATGAATGGTTAAACTGTGAAGTTCAACACACTACTGTGTTCGTGTTAGTAATCATTACTATGTAATGTACAGTTAGTAAATTGTTTGATCTGTAATTTTATTGTTGGGCTTTTTTGTTTTACAATGAAGTTTGCACAGTAGTTTATTAAAGACAGTGTTTTTCATTGTGGCAACAAATAAACATGCGTTTTTTGGCATGAAGCAATAATTTGTCTATTCTCATGTTGATAAACTTATTACAATTTGAAAAAGGTCGATTTAGAATGGATAAAAAATATGCGATCAATTTGCGATTATTAATCGTGATTAATTTTGTTCAAAGTTCGATTAATCGCGATTAAATATTTTAATCAATTGACAGCCCTAATATATATATATATATATATATATATATATATATATATATATATATATATATATGTATGTGTGTATATGTATACATAGAGATACACATTATCATCATCATTTACAGGGGCGAACTGCAAAGTACTTTTCAGTACTTTGCAGTTCGCCCCCTTTTTTCTTTTTTTTTTTCTGGTATGTATTTGTAGAGAAAATGTTTTTCTTTTTTTTTGGGGGGGGGGTGGGGGGAGGACTGGAGGGGCGGGCTGGGGGTTTGAGGGACAAAAAAGAAAAAAAATCACTTATGTATTGTTGTTCTTTAAGATGAATCTTCTGACTCATTGTGGAATAAATAAAAGTATTTAAAAAAAAAATTCAACAGGAAATTTGGCAGAGCTGACCAGAGGAATACATGTTTACATAGGAAGTCACATTGGTGGGTATCAGACACATTGGTGGCTATCAGACACCAATGTGAAGTACACGTACGGGAAGATTACCACTGACGTCACTGGAGCTCTTATAAGAAGAGTTCTAGGGAGAATTGTGAAGGGATTTTTCGACTACTGCTGTCTGTCTGATTGTCATGATGTCGTAGTTGATGCTTTAACTACAATCAATAAATCCCACAAGAGGCTGCCAACTGATTCTGTCTTCTAGTGGTTCATTTTTGCACCTTTTGCATCTATGAAATCTACCATAGGAGCTGCTGGAGGGTTGAGACTGAGCAGATATTAGATGGGAAATGACATTCAGGTCGTATGAGGATTTAGGCTACGCTTTGTAATTACTGAGTGGATGATTACACCATCAGTGTTTTGAACACCTCTATGTATCCCAGGCTATCTATCATCATCCCATCTATAATCTTTCTGTTTATAATCATCTAATAATTTCTTGCCAGGTTCAAAACCACAGACCATAAATATGTATGTAACGTTTTCCCTGTAGATGTTGTCTGATAAGGCTGGACTGGCAGAGCAGATATCAAATCCCAGAGCTAAATGACTCATAGTGATTATCACATTGCTGCAGATACCAGCCCTTTATCGCCAATACACCGATCAATGATAAGATAAACACATGGCAATTTAAAAATAAATGGTCCTATTTTAAAATCTATGAAATTAAAGATCACTATCAAATATGCATGTATGGAAGAAGAGATCCATGTGGACATCCTGCTAATGCTGGAGTGTTGTGTTTGTCCTTGCTTTCGCTAATATGTTGTAGGAGCAGCTTTGTGGGAGAATTCTTCATTTGCCATGTATTAAACAAAATTATCTCAAAAATTGTATTTAAAACAAAAACTTTCAGACTCCAGAGCACAAATGTCCCATAAATAAAGATGTTGCAGTGTATCTACAGCTCTGTGAGGCATATTTGAATATTTTCAAATGGTTTTGAATATTACAATGTCATTTAGCAGAAGCTTTTATCCAAAGCGACATACATTTGAAAGCATGAACAACACAAGCAAGATCAAGACAAGAGGAAACAAGATCAGTAAGAGCCACAAAGAGCGTCAAGTACATTTCGATGCAGGTACTGCCATGCAACGTAGGGCAAAGGCAATGCACAAGAGTTTTCACAAAGAACTGGGCACAGTGGAGCAGGACAAAGAGAGCCAGCTGTAGCTGGAAACCAATTCTACCACTAGAGACAACAGTGGAGACTGGTCTTGCTAACTGCACTTGTTCTCTTAAGAGCTGGATTTTTAGCTCTCTTGAAAGAAGACAGGACTCTGCTGATATAATTAAGTCAGGTGATACATACCACTATTAGGGTACTACAGAAGGAAAGAGTTGGGCTAGTGACTTAGTGGGCCTGTTTTGGAAGCACAAGGCACCTTTCTGTGGCTAAGCACAGTGGGTGAGAAGGGGTGTATACCTTGATGAGGGGTTCCAGGTAAACAGGACCAAGTTTGGTTTCTTTAATGATACCAGTTTTGAATTTGATGTAAACTGTCTGACATGAGCTGTCTTTGACTGGTTAAAGACCAGACATGCTGCTGCACTCTAAAAAAAGGATGTGCTGACTGTAAAAAACTGATGTAACAATTTGCATGGATATTTTCAAGTTCTTTCAACTTACCTAGTAATGTGTACATGCCACAAGACTTCTTCTAGTAGGCCAACTCAATTACTTTAGTACAAGCAACATGATTTGACTTTTACTCAACAAGCTTATTTAAGGTGAACAAACTTTAGGTAAAAAAATTAGGTAAAAATTACTAATTTTAGCTATTCTTACTTATCTTTGTCATTTCATCCCTCTCAGAAATGTCCATGCAAATTGTTACATCATTTTTTTAGTAAGGCAAGGCAAGGCAAGTTTATTTGTATAGCACCATTTGGTAACACTTTATATAAAGGTCCTTGTAATAAGCATTAGTTAATGGTAATAAGGCCCTTATAAGTGCGTACAAGATGCTTATTAACATTATTATTCATTTATAAGATTATATATCTATTAATAGTCTCATTATAATACAGTTATTAGCAGACTTTAAGAGATTTATAATAACTTTCAAGAAACTTGTTAACTGTTTGTTGATGCTTACGAACATTAATAAAATCCTTATGAGTATCTTATAACTGTTTATAATAACATTATAAACACATATATTGACTCAACTAGCCCAACCATGATGGCTTTATCATGCCTTTATTAATCTTTTTGTCTGATTTATTAACATTAATATACACTTTATTGCTCATCTACTGTAAGTTAACTATGCACTTGTTTACAGTTAACTGTGCTTTTTGCAGGTACTGGATCTAAAGTGAGAACAATGCCTTATTAAGGCTGATAAATCTTTTATTGAGCATTATTATGCCTTTAAGAATATTTTTTTTCTGCTTTATCAAAATAAAATGTACTTTACTATGCCCTTGTTATCAGTTAACTATGCACTTGTTAACAGTTAATTATGCTTTTTGCAGCTACCAGATCTAAAGCGAGAACAATGCCTTATTAAGACTCATAAAGTGACTCCTCTGGTAAGTTTAACTGCAGCTAACTGGTTAGTGCACATTCAAACACGCAGCTAGCTACATAGCTAGCTAGCCAAAGCTAGTTACATTAAAACTCTGTTTTGAATGTGCACTACCTCGTTAGCTGCAGTTAAACTTACCAGAGGAGTTATCCTCCATATCACAACGGCTCCTCTTGTCATCATGATCTTTTCGAGATCCAGAGCGGGTTTGTATTATCCGCGGGGCCGAAGATGTTGTTCCCTTCATTTTGCACGCGGCACCAAAACGACATTCACATTGATCGCGTGGCTGAGCCGCTAGCTTAAACCGGAAGTATCGGTTTTACACTGCTCTTTCAAAATAAAAGCACGTGAGAAGCGCACAAAGGCAAGAACAGCTACGGATGTAGGCTGAAAAGAAGCGAAAAAAGACGCGACCCGCGAAAAGCAACGGAAGAGGAGAAAAAAGAAGTGACTTTACCAAGATGACACTGCTAAACAAAATCAGAAAACGTATTTTTGAAGGTAAAGTTTAAAGTTTTTCTGGTTGAAAACTTTAAACTTGAAGGAAAGAGCAGTGTAAAACCGATACTTCCGGTTTAAGCCAGCAGCTCAGCCACATGATCAATATGCACGTCGTTTTGGTGCCGCGTGCAAAATGAAGGGAACGGCCTCGCGGATAATACAAACCCGCTCTGGATCTCGAAAAGATCATGATGACAAGAGGAGCCGTTGTGATATGGAGGATGACTCCTCTGGTAAGTTTAACTGCAGCTAACGATTTAGTGCACATTCAAAACAGAGTTTTAATGTAACTAGCTTTGGCTAGCTAGCTATGTAGCTAGCTGTGTGTTTGAATGTGCACTAACCAGTTAGCTGCAGTTAAACTTACTAGAGGAGTCATCCTCCATATAATAGAAGATTTATGAGACTTAATAAGGCATTGTTCTCACTTTAGATCTGGTAGCTGCAAAAAGCATAATTAACTGTTAATAAGTGCATAGTTAACTGATAACAAGGGCATAGTAAAGTACATTTTATTTTGATAAAGCAGGAAAAAAATATTCTTAAAGGCATAATAATGCTCAATAAAAGATTTATCAGCCTTAATAAGACATTGTTCTCCCTTTAGATCCAGTACCTGCAAAAAGCACAGTTAACTGTAAACAAGTGCATAGTTAACTTACAGTAGATGAGCAATAAAGTGTATATTAATGTTAATAAATCAAACAAAAACATAAATCTCTTAAAGTCTGCCAATAACTGTATTATAATGAGACTATTAATAGATATATAGTCTTATAAATGAATAATAATGTTAATAAGCCTCCTCGCCGGAGGCGTCCTCGTCGTCGCGGCATACGTGGCGGTCGGCTGGGGAAGCTAAAGCTTCGGCTGTCACAATCTTCGTCCATTTTCCGGACAGGACATGGATTATCCCCTCATGTCTTTGTGCCTCGTTGCTTTCTGGACCTGGTCGGCGTCTGTCTGGTACCTCTCATCGGCTCAGCTGAGGGACCCGAACCCCGCTTCCTCTGCCCTCTTTGGCTGTCACAGCGCGGGGTGGACCATCGGCTCCTCAGATCGCTGCGCCCGGCTCCCCGACCCACCGGACTGCAGGCCCCGGCCCCAACACCCGCCAGGATCTGCCTGGTAAAAGCCAGATCCCTGGTGAATAAAACTTTTATCCTGAGGGATTTCTTCAGCTCTCGTGCCCTGGATTTCCTCTGTGTGACAGAGACTTGGATCGGTGCGGGTGAGTCCAGCGCTCTGGCCGAACTTTTACCTCCCGACTGCTCTTACTTTAACTCCCCGCGGACGTCGGGTCGTGGTGGAGGAACAGCAACAGTATATAAGAATGGCTTTAAATGCAAGCAGCGCACTGTATCATCCTCTTATTCCAGCTTTGAAGTGTCTTTATTTGAGGTGGGTCGGTCTGACCCGGTGCTGTGCGCGGTCATTTATCGCCCCCCCAAATACAATAAGGAGTTTTTGAATGATTTCTCTGGTCTACTGGCTGAAATTATGCCGAGCTATGATCGTGTCCTTATTCTTGGGGATTTTAATATTCACCTGTGTTGTCCAGAAAAGCCGTTGGTGAAGGACTTTGTAAGCCTTATTGACTCTTTTAATTTGGTGCAGTGTGTGTCGGGTGCCACACACGAGCACGGGCATTTACTGGACCTCGTACTGTGTCATGGTTTACCCGTGTCTAACCTGGTGATATGTGATGATGTTTTTTCTGATCACAGGCCTGTATTGTTTGAGGTGTACCTTTCTTGCTCTGAGGTTAAATCTGGTGCCCCTGCTCAGAGACGCCGGATTATAAACCCCTCCACTGCCGGTCGCTTCTCTGTGGCTTTTGAACAGCTCTGTGTCTGCCCTTCCTCTGCGAACACAGAGGTGCTCAGCTCCTGGTTTCATTCCTCCTGTGAAAACATTCCGGACTCTGTGGCTCCTTTAAAAACTGTTCGGCCAAGGGCTAAATTGGAACCCTGGTTCAATGATGAAACCCGCGCAGCCAGACGAGAGTGCCGCAAAGCTGAGCGAAGGTGGAAGAAGGACAAGCTGCAGGTTTCCTTCCAAATACTGAAGGACTCTTTTAACAGCTACCAGAGAACTGTTAAAGAGAGCAAAAGACAATATCTGGCAAACTTGGTGGAGTTAAATCATCAAAACCCACGTGTGTTGTTTAAATGTATCGATGCTGTTCTTAACGCCCCACAGCCTGCCTGCTTAGAGGCATCTGTGGAAATGTGCAATAATTTTATGTACTTTTTTATTGAAAAGGTTGTGACTGTCAGGTCTCTCATCTCTGCTCCTGCATCCGACCCCTCTGTGCCTGTTCCTTGTTCGGCAGTTCTTGACAGGTTTGAGCCTGTGTCTTTGTCATATTTAGAAGAGCTGGTTGGCCATATTAAGCCTGCTGGTTCTCCCTGTGATGTTGTCCCTCCCAGGCTGTTTAAAGAGGTTTTCCCCTGCATAGGTCAGTCTGTTCTGGCTATCATAAACAGCAGTCTGTCCTCTGGTGTTGTTCCGCCAGGTTTTAAACATGCAGTGGTGCAGCCTCTACTCAAAAAACCAGGCCTTGATTGCAGTGTGCTGGCCAATTTTAGGCCCATCTCCAAACTTCCTTTTATTTCAAAGATTTTAGAGAAAGTTGTTCATGTTCAGCTAAAGTCCTTTCTGGATGAGCATGGTGTCTTGGAGGTCTTCCAGTCTGGTTTTAAAACTCGCCACAGCACGGAGTCTGCTTTAATAAGAGTTTTTAATGACATCCTCCAGGCAAATGACTCTGGTGATTATGTTGTTCTTGTTCTGTTAGACCTAACAGCAGCCTTCGACACAGTGGACCACAACACTCTGGTGGCTCGGCTAAGCTACCTTATAGGTGTCCGTGGTACTGCACTAGAGTGGTTCAAGTCATATTTAACAGACAGAACAATGAGTGTGAGTCTTGGAGATACAAAGTCCAGCTCTGCTCCACTGCCGTATGGGGTTCCACAAGGGTCGATTTTAGGGCCCCTGCTCTTTTCTTTATATTTGCTGCCCCTGGGATCCATCTTGAGAAAGCATGGCATTTCATTTCATTGTTACGCTGATGACAGTCAGATATATGTGCCACTTAACAAGAGAAATGCTTTCTCCCTCACTCCACTTCTGGCGTGTCTTGAAGACATCAAAGCCTGGATGGCTTTGAATTTCTTAAATTTCAATGAAAAAAAAACAGAAGTGATGGTCTTTGGTCCCAGTGGCCCTTGTGAAACCCCTCCTGTAGACTTGGGTATTTTAGCAGATTATTTAAAGCCAACCGTCTCAAATTTGGGTTTTAAGATGGACAGTGATTTTAAATTTGATAGGCAAATTAGCTCCGTAGTGAAATCCAGTTTTTATCATATTAGGCAGCTGGCGAAGGCAAAGCCTTTTCTTTCACGTAAGCACTTTGAAACAGTAATCCATGCCTTTGTTACATCTCGGCTGGATTACTGTAACGCACTTTATTTTGGAGTCAGCCAGTCCTCCCTCTCACGTCTCCAGTTAGTTCAAAACGCAGCTGCCCGGCTCTTAACTGGAGTACGTAAGAGGGAGCACATTACTCCCATCCTGGCCTCCCTCCACTGGTTACCCGTGCATTTTAGAGTTCATTTTAAGATTCTTTTATTTGTTTTTAAATCTTTAAATGGTCTGGCTCCATCTTACCTCTCTGAGCTTCTCCACCCCTACACCCCTGCTCGGTGCCTCAGGTCAGCGGATCAGCTGCTCCTGCAGGTACCGAGGTCCAAACGGAAGCTCAGAGGGGATAGATCTTTTTCTGTTGCAGCCCCAATTTTATGGAACGAGCTACCCCTCCAAATTAGAGAAGCCCCCACACTGTCCATTTTTAAAAGTCGTCTTAAAACCCATTTTTATTCATTGGCTTTTAACCCTCCATGAGACTCGGCTCCTGTTTTAGTGTTCTATGGTTTGTTTTTAGTTATTTGTTTCTATGTTTTTAAATTAGTTTTTAAAAGCATTGAAACAATACATTTAATTCTGCTTTTATTTTATCCATTGTTTTAATTGTTTTTTGATTGGTTTTTATCTTGTTGTTTTGTCTAGTTATGTACAGCACTTTGTACAGCTGTGGTTGTTTTAAAGTGCTTAACAAATAAAGTTGAGTTGAGTTGAGTAAGCATCTTGTACGCACTTATAAGGGCCTTATTACCATTAACTAATGCTTATTACAAGGACCTTAATATAAAGTGTTACCCACCATTTATACACAAGGCAATTCAAAGGGCTTTACGGATGCAAGAACATACAGTACATAAAAAAATGAAGAACGGAGAAATTAAAAACTATTTAAAATTAAAAAGACATAAAATGATTTAAAATCAATAAGACAAACAGATAATTTTTTTTGTCTGTTCTATGTTTGCCCTGTACACCATGAAAACCGTTGTTTCCCAGGAAAACAAAAGTCACAAGCTTTCAAACCCGGGGCTCCCCAGATGGTAATTAGTTTTCTCTTCGTCTATCTTGGATGGTAGTATTTCTCTAAAACAGAGTGTAAACTGACATTTTACATCAAAATATAGTCTTCATATTGTAAATCAGGAAAGTTGCAAAATAAAATAGCTGTAAAACTCTCAGAAAGACTGAATACATTGACAGTAATGCTCTTGAGACTGATTTGAGAGCTAGCTATGTTGCTATTGTTGCTCAAACTTTTAGCACAGCTACACATTTGAACTACATTGAAAGAAACAAAGTGAAAAGTTCAGAAAATCAATGCCAATTAAAACCGTAAAACAAAAACTTAACAGATACTGATGTTAGACCGAATTACTACCATTACCACTAGCTCACACGTTACTACTTTTGACAGAGAGAAATCATCTAATGTTGTGTAAAACGATTTATTGTATACTGTTGTTCTGTCTGCTAATGCAGTTGTTAACTGTTGTGAATAAATCCAGTATTAATTGTACTCACTAAGCTGCGTTTGTCCAACTCTGGGCTCTACTCAGTCTGTCTTCCAACCTTATGCTTCCAACATGCAGAAAAAGCTCTTGATTTTAAGTTATGCTGAATCATGTCTTAGAGTGTCGTTCTGGATCATTTGCAGAGGTTTAACTGTGCATGCAGCTCCCTGCCAGTAAGGAGTTGCAGGAGTCTATGTGGGACGACAAGAGCCTGTACCAGGAGCTGTGTTACATGTTCTCTCAGGTAGGGTCTGATCATCATGATGTTATAGAGGACAAATCAGCATGACCAAGCAATTGAAGCCACATGACTTTTGAAGGTAGTGAGTTAGTCACGGCCTGTCTGGACCTGTGATCTGGACTCGGCACCAAGTCCAGTGATGCTTCTGCTGTCGGTCTCTATCAGGACACCTGAAGCTAAAGCGAGCTAAAACTTTTTTTCACACAATGCAAATGGATGAAACGCACTGATGGCAGATGTAAACAGGAATAATATCAGCAGATTTTTAACCTGTTGGAGCTGGATGACTGATAACGCTGACTGTTTTAGACTCCAGAGTGACGGTAGAATATTTTGCAAAGGTTTGATCAGTTATGTCTCTGCTCGGATGTGTGGTGGACAGAGATCAGGGGCCTCATGTATCAACGCTTGCGGCGCAAGAAAACCTTGCGTACGCCAAAATCGGTGCACACGTCCAGATTTATCATCGCGAAACGAGCGTCGGTTCCAGCGCTAATCAACGCAAAGTCAGGAGGTGGTGTAGAAATTGGCGTTGAGCTGGATATTTGCGTTGACTGTGATTCGCACTTTGGCGACGCTGTGTGGCGGTGTTTGGTGACTCACTATGTGACAAGCGTCCACACATTGCAGTGGATTAATTGTTAATCCGACAGCTGTTCGTGTGTTAATTGTGTTAATTTGTAACACATTAACACAAACACGAACACCTGTCGGTATTACTGGAGGGGCTATAAAAGAGCGCATACAACTACACATACAGAAGACAACATTCAACAATGGCAGCATTTGCGCTGATTGAAGATCTTTATAACCGTGCCATCCGACGTGAGCGTCATTTTATGGAGCGGGAGGACCTGCTCCAGAATAACGACGAATGGCTCATGAGCCGGTTCCGGCTACCGCGGGCCATCCTCCTGGAGCTGTGCGAGGAGCTCCGGCCTGCGCTGGAGCGATCAACGGCCAGAAGCCGAGCGGTGCCCGTGCCAACGCTGGTGCTGGGCACACTCGGCTTCTTGGCCACAGGATCCTTCCAGCGGGAGATGGCGGACCGTGCTGGGGTGAGCCAGTCCACCATCAGCCGGGCCATGCCTACGGTGGTGGACCAGCTGATCCGCCTCTCTAACAGGTATATTAAATTCCCCTACGGTGCGGTTGAACAGGCCAATATTAAAACGCAATTTGCAGCAATAGCCGGATTCCCAAACGTAATCGGAGCTATTGACTGCACTCATGTTGCCATAAAAGCGCCGCCCCTTGACGAGTACGCTTACGTCAACCGAAAAGGCGTTCACTCCATCAATGTGCAGATCATCTGTGATGCACAGATGAATCTGCTCAACATTGTTGCGAGGTGGCCCGGTTCAACGCACGACTCGCACATCATGTACAACAGCACTGTTGGGGAGAGGCTCCAGGCAGGTGCAGTTACAGACGGGTGGCTGCTGGGTGAGTAAATATGTAATAATATAATGTTATTCAAAAACTTGACGTGCATCAGTGACTTGAACTAAATGTGTGCAACGCTGATATATTGTACTCTGCGTTTGATTGCGAGTACTCGATGGATGTTGTGGGTTATTGATTGCTTATTGCTTGCTATTATTACAACGCATCAAGCCCAAGACTTAACACACTGTGCTTTTTCTGAAGGTGACAGTGGCTACCCCCTCAGGAACTGGCTGATGACCCCTCTCCACAACCCCCACACTGACCGAGAGCGGAGGTACAACCATCTCCACTCTCGCTCTCGGTCAGTGGTGGAGAGGGCCATCGGCCAGTTAAAGGGTCGGTGGCGCTGTCTGGACCGGAGTGGCGGCGTGCTTCTGTATCGTCCGGAGAAGGTGTGCCGCATTGTGATGGCGTGTGGCGTCCTTCACAATGTGGCACAACTGCACCACATCCCCATGGCTGGGCAGCACGTCGCCCCAAATGATGATCCAGCAGCAGACGGAGGGATGCGAGCTGATCCCTGCCGGGCCGCCGTCCTCGCACGGGAGAATCTCATCGCCACAATGTGAATGGGTAAGAAGTGAATACACAGTTTAATGAGCCAAATTATTTTATTTTGTCCACCAGACGCTCGAGGACATTGACGAGGCGGTCCAGCCGCTCGTTGATTTCCGCGATCCCCCTAATTATTTGTTCCTGTGATTGCAGGACCGCCTCCGTGAGGACCCTTCCACTGCGTCCGGGTGGTCCAGCGGAAGCGCCGCGCCTGGTGGACGCTCCATCGCTTGTCGGCACGCTGGTGCTGGTGCTGGGGCCGGGGGCGGCCCGAATGCCGCTGGTCCTGGCCGACGACTCCGAGCCGGCGGACGGGCTGCCGCGGGCCGGGGTTCCACAAGCCGTCGACATTGATTTCTGTGACCCAATAAAAATATTTGTTCATTTCAATTCCTGCTTCTGTGTATCTGTTGCGTTTACATCTATGGCAAAGCATGTGGACATTTGTGTGACACGCTACTTACCCTCCAGCAGGCTGTCTGAGTCGCCGCGGGTAGCGGCGACAATCCCCCCCACAGAGGCGCCCCCCATAATCGCCACCACCCGCTGCTCAAACGGCGTGAGGGTCTCCTCCCCCGGACCCCCACCTGTCTGGCCGGTACTCCTCCGGAGGGCAGCTGTACGCCGCTTGACCTCCACCTTGAGGTCCGACCACTTTTTTTTAATCTCCGCGGGGCTGCGTGTCTCTGAACCCACCGCGTTCACCCTCTGACAAACTTTCTCCCACTCCAAGCGTTTTCGTTTTGCACTGACGCCACTGGACAGGCTGCCAAACAAAACACACTGTCGCTCCTCCACCTACGCCACCAGCACCTCCACCTCGCACGCCGTAAATTTAGGTTTCTTGTCATTTTGTCTGCGTGCGAGGACAGGGAGACCCTATTTAAATAAATCTGCATATTTATAGGAGAGCGTAACGGGGGCTGGCCCAGTCACTCCAACATCTGCGCTCAATTCCACGCTGATTGGGATTTATCAAGGAAACACACGTGGATTTCGGCGCCCGCACACATTGATACATACAGATTTTTTTCAGCGTTACGGACCTTGCGTGCGCTCGTTTCTGGTATGAGTCCCACGCAAGTGTTGATACATGAGGCCCCAGGACTTTTGATATTTTTTTGAGGTAACATTTCCTCCAGTATTTTATACAAGATCTCCATTAAAAAGTGGTGTGGTGTAATGAGCTGCTGTGAAAGCTGTACCTTCGTGAACACAGGTGTGTTTTTGTGGATGAGAGGAGACAGGTGTGTTAATGAGGGAGAGTCTGGTGATGAGGTTTATACAGTTAATACCAATGTTTACTTCAGATCACTGCTCTGTGTGTGTGCATGCGTGTGTAATATTGTGAAGGATTCTCAGTGTGTGAGCCTCTCTCCCTGTAGAGACTGACCATCCCCGGTGCTTACTTGGTAGTTTGAGTGGCTGGGGCAAAATAGTAGGAAACTTTTAAACACTTGCCATGCTATGCAGGCAGCTTCTTGGTGATTTGGGCTGTAAATTGGTCTATTTCCAACTGCTTGGGACTTACCCCTTTGTATGCGACTGCGCCCTGTGAAACCCCATTTAAAAACTATAATGTTTTTATTATTAGCACTTTGTAGACCACATCCCTGCCCATCTACACCTAGGTAACCGCAATATATTTTTTTCAGATAATTCAGCACTAGTTCGGCCTGTCAAATCTGATCAAAGCCAATTTATTTACTTTTATCCACAGCAGAGAGCGCGCCCGGCGCTTTTTTTAATGATGAGCGTCCGGTGTTGTGCCGAAGAATGCACCCCTGCCGTAGAATGCACCCCCTGACGGAAGCGCTATGTGTGCATTTCTGAGAAATAAAAACCGAACGAAAGTTTGCTGCTCCATGTGACATGTTGTCATGATCCGATATTTGTGTTTTTATTTTTTTTATGTGAGATCATTTTCTTCCACTTTAAGAAGCGAATGAGTGGATTGGAGG